AAACTATGCATTCAAAAGTAGTTCGTACAGCCATTATCTCACCCTTGGCCTATTAAGACATAACCAACTGATGATTTCTCCACCAACCCTTACTTAGATTTCAAACCCCTCTTATCATCGCATCTTCATTAAAACACATTTTATTTACTTCCCTCACAATCTAGCATTACTTTATCGCCCCATCTGTTTTTCTTAGCCTTTACCGACTACTTCTACTTGAACATTTGTTTGCTTAATCACGCTGTTTTCCGTTATTCATGTTATCACAAGTTGCCTTACTTTTTCATCCTTGTTATAGATAGAAACATTATTACTATCATTACTACTATTATGACCAACTGCACAATTTATATTCACCATCTTATTATCCTATAGACAAAACACCACGATTGGTTAATATTTGAAGTTTTATTTGTAAAGTTATATATATTAGACTCAAGCCTGATGAGATTTAATTCAAAACAGTATGGTTCGCTGTTTCGCTATTTAATGCTGCTGCTGATAGCTTTATCAAAGTATCAATATTAAACCAGAATTTACACAATCTCAGCCTATATATAACAACTTAACCATCGTTCCTCAGCATGAGGTCATTTTTCCTTGTCAAATTGGCCAATTGGTAAAGACAACAAAACCAGGTGTAGATTTTAGGATTTGATAAGTGTGTAAAGTCATAAAAGCAGTATGTGTTTACATGATGAAATTGTTTATCACATTCGTGTTGATTTTGTCACTTCATCGGGAGGTGGTGGGGTGTTGTAACCAGGTTAAATTCTGTTTTAATCCAATATTCCTATGCAGACAATTTGGATTCCACTTGATATGAAGTGCTTCTGATGATATTAGACGTTCTTTCTGATTTCTGAGATTTTTCTGGATTATTTCAATATTCTTACCTGATTCTATGGCGCGTAGACCTATGGCTGATGATTTTTCAAGATTTTCTAGTTCAACCGGATTTATTTCTCGGTGGTCGAACAGATGTTCTACGTTTTCATTTCTTCTAATTTCGATTTCTCGAGATGTTTGTCCAATGTATATCGTATCACATTCCAAGTATTTTATTTTATAGACACAATTAGATAGAGAATCCTTAGAGATTCGGTGTTTTATATGGACAAGGTTGTTTCGTAGTGTGTCTGGTGTTTTGAAGAAAAAACTCTGATGTCGAGCTGACTGAGCACTCTTCTGATATCGTCTGCTGTTTCTGATCTGTATGGAATGACGACTGCTGAGGTCCATGTTTTCGGAATGTGTTTTCGGCCATACTTAATGTCCGTGTTGATTTTGTTGATGAAGTTCCTTGGGTAGTTGTTTTGCTTGAGGGTTTCAGTAACGTTTGATATTTCTTCTTCTTTTTCTTTCTTATCTGTTATCAGAGAGCATGCTCATCTAAGAAAAAACAATATCGTTTTGTTTTCCATTCATTGAGAAATAAAAGAAAACCTTTATTATAATGAATCCTGGAAATTGTTCAAAGCGAATTCAATAATAAAAAAATAGACACAATATGGGAAGGATATACAAACTGAATAAGCATAATGAAAAAATAAGTAGAGCCAAAGTGTGACATAGACAGATTAAGATTGAAGGGATTGAGCAAACTTCTTCTGTATTCAGAGATCTGGAACCTCTCTTTCGACGGCCAAGTCTTCAGTAACACAGATGAATCAGGCGTGTAATGATCCATGTTGAAGATAACTTTAAAGGAAGAGGTTGTATAAATGAGATGACTAGTATTGACCAGATATTCAATTATTGAACTTCTTATAGCGTCACTCCCACATCTTCGTAACCACACAAGGTGATGTTCTTCAATCTTCTTGGACAAAAATTGCGTTGATTGACCAATATGCTTAGCTCCACTAGAGCAGGTAGATTTCTAACTGCATATAGAGCTGGTCAACTGCGGTATCTTATACTTCAGGTTACTGAATGGTTATAGTTTATTTGATTATAAATTCTTTGGAAACAGACTCTTCTTTGGATCACATGTTTTGATTGTCTAAATGTCCCAATGGAGATTTTTCATCAGTAACATAATATAGAACACGATTTAAACAAGTATGTATTTTCGGTAAATCCCTATCAAGATTTACATTTACATAATAAGGTATTAGTCCTAGGCATTTGTAAAAATATGGTTAATAAAATGTAGGATGTGAATTTACGGACAACAGTCGAGGTGATCATATATATAATATATAATCTAGGTACTGGTGAATGTGTACATTATTAGACGTAGATGGGAAAATTACTACTGTCACGTAGCAGTTAGATAATGCGGTAAGAATAATAAATTGTGAAAAGGACAATAAAAATGACAGATAACAGAATAAACAGGAATGTAAGTGTAGAGCTTGAGCACTATGGTGGTAGAATGTAATTCCATATTAGATAAGTTTATTTTAAATATCACATAGCAATGCAGTATTAACAATTGGATGACGTTACAAGCATAAGTTATTGCTGATTATCATATCAGTTTTTGTCACATGTTTTCACAGTCTGTCTTATGTATAAATATTCTCTCTTTCTGTCTATCCAATTTCTCTTTCTGTTTGTCACCACCTTCCATATCTCCGGTAGCAAAGGCGTTGCGCCGTTCTGATTGCATGTGTTCAGTGTTGAATCGATAAACAAAGCTTCAGTGATTAACCTTTCTGTCTCTCCACCTAACTATATTACTTTTTAATACTGTCACCCTATCTCACCCACCCTATTTTGTGATTGCAATCAAGTGAATGCAGTGCAACGCATTGGCTGAGCTTTTTTCTAGGTTATTTAACTTAGCAGGATCAATTAATCTTTTTTTAACTCCTTTACATTCCCAGTAGAACATAGGGCTTCAAGCTACAGCTTTGAAGTTTCATTAGCAGCTGTATCTATTTTTACGGCAGGGGTTGCTAGCCTCATGTCCAGCCTTTCCTCCTTACCAGTCTTATTATTGGTTTAGTGAAGTAAAGGAGTATGTCGGCCATGGATTACATTAATTAGATCTTTTTGATCCTGGAACCAGTAAAGTTGATCTCTGAGAGAGTTGGTTGGTTGGTTGCTTTAAATGCTACTCTAACTAATTCCAGCCTTATTGAGTATCCTACGTAATGCCTCTGACGTCCCTTCTTTATACGGTAGTAGTACTACAGTTGCTCTAAAATTCTATATTATTTTGGTCATTTTTAGTGTTAGTCTTAGTTTTTCTGTGGTTCTTCATGTATATTTTTGAATAAATTCTGGTTTGTTTGATTTCATTGTTTAAATTTTCTGGCCTACTAGTTACGCCCCTGGTCCCATTATACAGACATTTAACTAAACTTATCATTACCAATTAGGGAAGGGATGAATTAAAGTCAAAGGAATAATTACAGTGTGTCGGTTTTCTATAAATGCTAGGATCTAACTCACCTTTTCGTGTTCGTTTAATAAACAGGAACCTCGGATAAAAACCGTTTTCGGAAAATCATTGTTGAGATCTGTTTATGACGGTTATGTTAAAGACAAAGGTCAGATGTATTTCTCTTAAATCCATACCATTCGCTTGAATTTTCGGATTACTAGTGCCTCAGCTATATCTTCATTTCACTGCCTTTGGTAGGTTTGATCGGATCTTGTATATGATTTCAGAGAAATTTTCAAATGGAACTGAGTGTCCTAAGTTCACCAGGTAGTCTGTTTCCAAAATATAATGCGTTTCTTATCAAAACTTCCTGTTTATCCTCACTGTTATTACGTTTTCAGTCCCTATTTGTAATAATATTATTCGCTATGATTTCCCCCCTCGACTGGAAATAGTTCTAGGACTTTCTCACCATACAAGAATACACACACTGTTTATATATTCGTTAGATGGAGAATTTACTTCGCTGCAACCGTCTTTTTAATTTCCCCAATGATATATATATATATGTAAATCTATACATATAGCTAAAAGTTTTACTGCTGTTCACCAGGCCCTAAATTTAAATGACAGTTATAATTAAAGAAATATTATTATTAGCAACATTAATGCTGCTTTAAATTACATTAAATCAACAGTGTTCACAGATTACATTTGAGAAGCAGGATAATTAAGAGACAATATGTATTTATTTAACTCTAAGGAAGATGAGCATCAGCTAAATTAAGGGAATTAACACAGAATTTGTGGATTCGACAATGGGTGAGGGTAGCAGTGGGGTCTGGAAGAACCTGCTTTTTTTACACACACAGTTCTGGCCGGTTTAGGCAAACTGGAATGACCACTTCTGTTTAGATTGTTCGGTATCTACAGACCTTTGGTGATTTATCTGATACCCAGTAGATCATGGGGAAGTCTCCTCATTGTCAGCCAGTTTTGTGGCTTGTTTGGACTAGGTGATTCAATATAGAACTGTTGATGGTTTTAACAACACCTTTATTTAGGCACACTGGTAGATGTTCCCGAAGACGAAAAATTAACTACCTAGATCAGGGGGCCAATATAATTACTAAAGGCCTGTAGATACGAAACACTGAAAACAGAAGAGACCAATGGAATTGACTTGAATCACTCGGAATTCTGTGTGCAAAAGAAACAGGTCTAGTAAGCCACTACTGATGCTTACTGTCGAACTTATAAATGCATAAATTCTGTACCACTTCCCTTAATTTATCTGATATTCGGTCAGTTAAGTGTTATGTGTGATGCCTATTATCACCCTCTTACTGATCATCCTGAAATGTAGTCATCCGTTGATACTACTGATTTAATGTAATTTAAAAAAGCGTCAACGTTGTTCATAACAATATTTCTTTAATTACGCCTATCACATAAATGTATAACCTGATGGAGAGCATATTATCGCAAAGGATATTCTGTGATCATTGATCCGCCATTTACATCTAAGAATATAAATATTTTACACTTCTTCTTCAAGTTTATATCTCACACAATTTTACAAAAGTATCACAACTAATCCATCAATGATCTGGCTTTTATAACAAGGTGCTACTTATCGAATATTTCTGTTTGTACTTTATAGGATTTAACTATCACTCTAACGTCTGAACGACCAGAATCTGAAGTTCAACTCATTCCAGATAAAAATGAACCGTGTAGGATAAATTTGCAGACGCTTGTTGATCAGCAGGTAAGCTATTTACTGGCATGACACTGTTTATCAATTATACTGTATTTGCAGTGTTCCCGGGTAGATTTCGTATAATTTGAGAGTTCCCATTAGGACAGTTTTAGAATGCGACTTATACAATAAAATATACTTATTTGAATAAAGCAAGAACAACAGATTTTGTAGAATAGTATGGTACTATCGTTTATTTTGCTAGCTTCTTATCAGCTGCTTTTAGCCTAAATAAATTATGAGGTCTATGTACAGAAAAGTTTTAACATACTTGCAAATTTTACATGATGTCAGTTGACAAGAAGTTCCGAATTTAATGAAGTGTTCAGAAAATTACACTTATAAAGCACATGGTCCGGGGTTCGATCCCCTGCCGACGCACACTCCATATCTATGGTCGGCCTGCAAAATTTGGGCTACCGGTATCCATGCTGAAAATTCCATACTTGTACTGAAAATACGGTGTGGCATCAAGCTGTAATCAAAAAAATAAATAAATAAATACATTGGCAGTTCAAGTTTAAACAAAGTGAGTGTACGCATACAATAGTAAAGGACTTACGTAACATAGACGAGAGGTGCGTAAGATGGTGAGTAACTAATAAATACGGTCACCAGGGCGGGGCATGGAGAGACTGATAACCGCTTCTTTCTGAACACACAAATCGGGTTTGAGGCGTTCGATAGAGATTCCTTTGGCAAACTTGAGGAAAATTAAGCTTTTGTCTATTGATAATTTTAAAGGAATTTGCAATTTCCAGCTCAAGATCCGCAACAAGGAGTTGCGTGGTAATGGCACTATTGTAGTCGTTTGTTCCCTTGAGATGTAGGCTTTTCGACGTATGTTCAGAAAATCGGAGGTGTACTATTCTTTCTTTTCTTTCAATGCAAATGCTCCCACAGATACACGTCAATTTGTATGCACAGTTAGAGTTACAACGAGTAGGATATCTGTTGACTTTCGATTGCACGGAAGAGCATGTTATCTGAAAAACGAGCACCAACTTAGCTGGAGGATATGCTCTGGCTATTGACGTAATCAGACTGAGTATTTTAGAGCAAGCATGTAAAAGCGTTTCAGTACATTAACTTCATAACTTATTAGGAGCTAATGAAAAGCCAACGAAATAAATGATGGCACCTAATATTATTCTGCACGAACCACTGTTGTTATTGCTTTATTCAAATTCATAAGGAGGTATTAAATGTATTAAGTTTCTGACAGATACGTGTTTTCGGGAAATTCTCATCAATCTTCACAATTACATGACAAACTATCAGTTAGTCAAAGACATTTGAAACAATGTGGATCAATAAAAGCAAATAGAATCAAGGAGTTATGTAAGTGGAACAATAACGACAAATTGTGGTGTATAACTATAAGACAGTATGGGACCGATAATCAAGTTATCAGTACAAAAGAAAATAAAGATAATATTTACATTTTTCTGGTGTTATCAGGAGAGATAAGTTTTCCAGGGTAGGATTGAATGACATGGGAGGGAGAGGGACTGAACAAACATTTTCTGAACACATGGACTGGGCTGGACTACTTACACGGCAACTGTTTCATTTGTGCGTAGCAATCGAAGGCGTAAAAACTTAGGGAACTGCTCATTGTTCAACTTGGTTAGGTAAAGGAGTCGCAAAATCAATCATGAGTTCCATATTGTCACATCTTGTGGTTACGGATCACAAGATTTAAAGAATTTCCGTATTTACAATTCTACACAAGGTACCAACTCAATTACCTAAGTTTGTACGCCTTCGATTGCTAAGCACAGCTGTGACAGTCACCGTGTAAATGTTCCAGGCCAGTCCATATATTCAGAAAATGTTTGTTCAGTCCCTCTCCCTCTCATGTCATTCAATCCCACTCTGGGATACTTATCTCTCCTGGTGACACCAGACAAATGTAAATATTATTTTTATTTTCTTTTGTACTGATAACTTGATTATCGGTCACATACTGTCTTATAGTTATACACTTTAACCTGAGTTTCACAACTCATTATTATTCCACTTAAATTCTCCTTGACTCTATATGCTCCTATTGATCCACATTGTTTCAGATGTCTTTAACTAACTGATAGTTTGTCGTGTAATTGTGAAGGCTGATGGGAATTTACCGGAAATGCGTGTTTGCTTGCTTAATTAATGTCCCAGGATTTCATATCATTTTTATTCACACTTTCGGTCCTAAAATGCAAATATATTGTTGAAAAAACTCTACATTTTTCTTTTGTCTGGTAAAGAATTGACCAAATTTATAAATTTTCTCCTGAACTATTTTTAATCATTTTGAACGGATTTCTCACATTTCATTACCTGTGAAATCTTGGTGAACGATATCTCACTAGTAATTTGGTAGATGGTGACCAGCAGTGGAATCCAGAAGAAGCATTTTGATCTATTCGGGGCTCATCATCTGGAGGTAACTGCATTCCTGAGTTAACGATCGTGTTTCCACTGAGGCTGGGTCCCATATATTATTGCTTCAAATATCAATACCTTATCCACTAGACCACTCTGGCTATGACTGCCACCTCTTTTACAGCAACTTAATAATTTAAAAAAAGCCTACTCATTAAGACAGATGATAAGGTAAGGAAAAACGTTCTCGCAATTTACTAGTTGTATTTTATTTAGCTCAAAGGGGCTTGTAGAGGCTAGTGGCACTTCCTGTTTGACGGAATTCAGTGCTTTTTGACATTTACCTGGGTGATTTGGTGTACGCGTCACTTCAATCATTTGTGAATCCACGGAGTTCGCTAGTGATTAATACAATTAAGTAAATTCGAAAACATTACAGCTTGCACTTCGCTGTAGAATTATCATAATACTTTCCAAGAAGCTTGTGGACCTACTGGAAAGCATTAGAAGCTATTTCAGTGATCACTGTTGTTATTACTGTAAAATTCAGGGACTGAATCACATAAACCCAACCATCGTTCCAAGAAAGTCCTGAGTCCTAGGATTGTCCTTCATTATTTGACACAATTAGGCGAATGGATTGTTTGTTGTCGCAGTGAGTGTTTTCAAAGTACTCTGCCATCCACTGTCGTAAATTAACAATAACGTGATATTTTATTCAAAGGGGGATTAATTACGATGCTGAGGTCACTAGGACTGATAAAAGTAATGGAATCGTACTAATGTTTCATACCTAGTCACTGGTTAATTGATTGAAAAGTTAAGTTCAAGTCTTGCACTGTAATGCTAATGCCTCAGACTTCTCGATGAGATGCCCAGGGGCTTTGTTGAACTGTTCAAGACAGTGAAATCCCATCTCTCCAGCCTTCACTGTAGTTCAGCAGTTTCTTTATTGAGTTTCCCTTATAATGAGTTCCCATTTGAAATGATTTCGGTTCCAGCTAATCCTCCAGTAAAGTTGAAGCACAAATGTAAACAAAGGGAGGGCATGTGTGACTGTTTCTTGACATTTCCACCACAAGAATTAAAGCGTTCATGCGGTTTCTAATTTTCTTTTTGGGCTCTTAGTAGATTACCATGAGGAGCAGTGGTAGATTCAGTCTCACAGCTGCGGTTTTCAACATTTACCTTTATATCGATTCCATAATAGGCACACTTTTTTCTAAATGTGCATAAATATATCATCTCCAAAATTTACTTCTAAACTTTCATCAAACCACATTAAATAATTTTTTTGAAAATATCATACTACTTAATTATGTGTAAGTAACTAAAATAAAATGAAATAAGAGTCTTTGGGTAGACTGGCATAATACTATGCATACCTCAACACTAATGATTTTCAACAGCAATGTAAACAGAAAGCTGATTACCATCATCCACAGCGTCTTAAATAATAATTAGGATAACACCATTGATGATATGTCCTCCAAGTGATTCATGTTGCCTTTATATTTATAAATATGAAGTTTTATACATATTTTGATTTGTGATAACATGAGAGTCATGGATACTTAGATCCATTATAAAGGTTAAGAAAAAAAAGTGAATCAGCGATATCATAAGAAGTGAAAGCCAGTCTCAGTGGAGAACGAGAACTGGACGTATCACCAATCTTAGGAATAAAGTGATTCAGTATACGTAGATAACTTTTAAGATTGGCTTTGATCATTGAATCCATGGAAGCAGAGTTCCGACTACATTCGCTTTGCACTACTAAAATTCATTTCCTAAATAAAAGCAGAAGAATTTCCGCCAGTATACTTCATTTTCGATAAAAAATGCCTAAAAAGAAGTATCAGACCTTATACATTCTTTTCAGTTTGTTATTGGTTATGAATAGCAAATTCTTATTGACGTGGCTTAAGATTTTGAAGCCATTATTGACAGTCAGTATTTAAATACATTCTATTAGATTTATTGCTAGTCGCGAGGTATTAGTGTAAGTCTCCTCGTTGTGAGATGATGCACATCGGGTGACTTTGTTATAGACCAAATGATACTCAGGTGTATTCAGAGGTGTAGGTATTTCTCAGAGGATGATAAAACACCATAATTTTGAAGAGACACTTTGTAGGGATTGGATTTCTCTGAAGTTAGACTTCTGGCTGATATCAATTAGAGAACCATTTAAAACATGCAGGGAGCAATAGGCATCGGTTTTGTCCCAGTTTCAGACTCATTGGCAGTATGCACGCATCAGGGTTTGAAAACATAACCTTCCAGCAACTAGTCAAATTTCTAGGCCACTTGGCCACTACTGCCAGACTCAACGACCCATGAATTCTTACTTTTGTCGGTTCGTGGTTTTAGCGCGGCGAATATTTCTCCCTACCCTGACCTAGTGGATGCAAGTAGTCAGGACTGCTCATTAGAATGAGTTTGCCTGGTAATTGCAAAGTCCTGGGTTCGAAATCTGGTGGGTCCGGACTGCCAATTAGTCCCAAACTAGGACAAAATTATATCACTCTGCGGTCAAACTTTAAACATTTTAAGTAAACTCTTGAAGCATTTCACTTATTTTTAAGCACAGATTAGTCTATCCTTATTAATTGTAATTTTCGATCTTGGACATTTTTCTAAATGTAGGAATGGAAGCTGCATGAACACATCGAAATAACAAGACGTTCCGCAACTCAAGAGTATACACATTCTAGTCAAAGTCATCCTTGTATTTCTGTGACTTGTAGAGCAGCACGTAGACCTGGTTATTTCTATTGGAATGTCTTTCTGATTATGGTAAGTACGTAAATATTTTATATTTTTTTTGTTAAATACTGAAAATTGAATAATTATACGCTTATGCACACACAGACAACGAATCTTCAAGAATCTTCAAAAATATGGATATTGGTTACAGGATTTCATCATAAATTGATATCGGTGGGTGCGTGCTACCGAAGAGTCTGAAAGTGGGACGAAACAGTCGTCCAGTACGCCCAGGTTTTCCAGTGGTTCTTTAACCGTTGTCAGTTCATGACGAAACTCTGTAACAAATCAGATCAAATCCCTGCAAACCAACACTTGAATATGTTTATTGTCTTGTAGATGTTCACTTTCGAATTCGAAAGAAAACTTGTTTTCATTTAATTGGTTGGATAACATTAGTTTAAAATTGGTGAACTGAAATTTGAAAATGTAGGTTTTGAGTAAATTACCAGTTTGTGAAGCTATCTGTATCTTGTCAAGTTGTTATTGTTATTTATCAACCACGGAGATCACAGCAAAAGCAATGGTATTACCGTTGGCATGAATGACATTTTTGTATTTGACAAAATATACATAAATGGAAGTAATAATACTAATAGATAAACGATTTAACTGTTAAAAATTTATTGCAAGCCAATATCATTTAGAGAGATCATTGAAAACCAGGGAGCACCAGACAGCTTTTTCGCCTTAGTTCGAGATTCTTCGGCAGTGAGCGCCCACGACCCAGCCGGGGATCGAACGCAGGATCTTCGTGTTACAAGACCAAGTTAGCTGACCTTTCAGCCATTCGAGCTGGAGTCCAGTGACCTTAAATTCTGACTTTGTCAGTTCGTGATGTCGAGCTACCCTGATGCTATACCTTCTATAAGCATCCACAACACTTTGACATGATGGACCACACTGGTGACTAATTCCTATTGCCTCTTCAGGAATCCATCCAGTAGCGATCGATGAGCTGGCGGCTGGTACACAGATTATGGGGTTTTCAGGGATTACGGATTAATTTCGGCCGTAAGATTTTCCTCACGAATCAACGTCAGTTAGAGAGATCACTGAAAGCCAACAGAGAGCACTGGACGGCTGCTTCATCTTATTCAGGGGATCTTCATCTGCGTTCGCCCACTATCCCGCCAAGAACCGAACCTGGAACCCTAGGGCTTCAAAATCAAGCCCGTCTACCATTCAGCTACTTACAATAGAATCCAATGATCTGTAATCTTAGTACCAGTTGCCAGCTGACTTATGGCTACTGAATAGGTTTTTCTGAAGTGACAGAGGTAGGTCATGGCCAGTGCAGTTCACCACATCAAGGTGAGGCAGATGTTAGTGCAAAGCATTGGTGAAGACAAGTCTGTATCATGAATTAATACATGGATCACTGAATTCCGGGCCAAGTGGCTAAACGGTCAACAAGGTTGGTCTCGTAATGTGAAGGTCCTGCGTTCCATCCTCGGTTGGATCGTGGGTAAGCACTGCCGATGGTTCCCAGAACAGGGAGAACAGCCATTCAGTGCTCCCTTTTGGCTTTCAATGATCTCTTTAGCTGATGTTGGCTGGTAACGAAAATCTAACAGCTGAAATTAATCCCAAATCCCCGTGACTACTGATAAATCTTATCAGTAGTATATAATGAGATATTGATCAGTGTAAAAAGTATCAAGTAGCAGGAAGATAGATTTGATGTCGGTGAAAGAAAATGACACGGCTTTGTGGAGATACACAGGTGAATTGAAAGGAACACAAGGAAACACAATATGGAGGCCAGAAACGACACAGCATTGAAGACATGTGTAAATGGGGTGTTAAAGGGAATATAGTGATACTGAATTGCACGTGAACATTCCTTCACCAAGTTCTTTGTCTTCTATCATCATACTATAATCTGAAGATAAAAGGGAACATCAATAAATGATCGCAGTTATCGAATGAAAATACTATTCAAAAGTTGTTTTTTTTGATTTTTTATTAACTAGTCGGTCACACGTAACTTTCAAGCTATATCGCTATCAGTTGTTTAATAACTCTGTCGGCTTTGGGATAAATAGGGGTTGAGAAACACTTGGAGAGAATGGTCGCTTAGTAGAATACAGAAACAGTAAATATAAGCAATACGGTGACGACAAAAGCGTTTAGTACTGGGTTCTCATTCACACATGTATATAGTTTAGCAAAAATAATAATAATACTTTTTTTCTTACTGATGATATTACTCTATAAGCAAACAAGGATGGAAAAATATGTGGAGAGATAAAGTGTCTAACAGATGGCCGTTTATTTTTATGCTCTGTGTTCATATATACGCGTCAATATATCTATCTGTTAACCTGCAAACAGCTTCAATTCTCAAAAGATTATTATCATTATTAATATTATTATTATGGCAAATAGGATAACGAAAGCAAGTATTACGATATAAGTATGAAACTTCAGTACTTTGGTAGAGTATAACTCCATTAAAGATAAGATTTTATTTTGATAAAGTCACACAGTGTTCAGATGAATCTTTAAAGTGTTCAGTGGTGTTTTACGGCAATTCCTTAAACAATACTGCTTAATAATAATAACAATAATAATAAAGCTTTATTTCAGAAGCTTTCAGCATGTCGAGTCCTGAAATATTTCTTCTTCGTATAGGCTTTACTATATAAAGTAATAATCTGAAGTTTACCATGGGACTTAGTGTAACTGAAAATCAAAACAAGTGAAGGGCTGCGAAGAGATTCTTTTCAACGAATTTTTTATCAAGCTGTACACTCGTATATATGTGTGGTTTCTAAGATATTACATCCCTCGAGGGATTTGAATCGTAGGTGTGAATGCATAAAATAATGATAATAATAGTATGAAATGCAACTAAAATGTTTATGATTATAATCATAGTTCAACATCAAGTGGCAAAACAGTTAATGCCATACATAGAACAATTCATGGTATGTATAGAAGTTGGAGGGGCTGTACAACTGTAGGATTAGTAGGTAAATATAACAAAAATAAAAACATTACTTTACACTGTGTGAAATTTGACAATAGAATTTAACGTTGCAAAACAAATTGATATAGAATGACAAGTGGAACGAGTGAAATAATACCGGGGACCAATCAGATTGAGTAGAATAATAGTAACAATCGACGTAATAAAGGAAGAGTATACAAAGTGAATAAACAAAAGGAAAAAAATTGGTAGAGCCAAAATATGATTAGGGATTACCATACTTTAGCATAAAGGGATTAAGTCTATGAAAGTTGGAGGGGTTTAACGAACATTTTCTGTATACAGAGATCTGGCTTTTCCACTTCAATTGCCAAGGCTTCAGAAATACAGATGAGTGATATGGGCAGGTTATTCTTCGCCTTGTAGATGACTTTAAAGGCTGAGGTTGTTGAGACAGGGTGACCATTATCGACCAGATGTTCAATGTTCGCGCTTCTTAATGCTTTACTTCCACCTCTTCGTAACCATACAGGATAGTCGTCTGGCATCCTTTTCGACAAAACTCGAGTTGAACTACCGGTATGCCTAGCTCCACACGTGTAGGTGAATTGATCAACACACAGTGTTATTGTATATGAAGACAGAACCCATTCTGTACACATTTTTTTCATTTCCTTCAACAGTCACACAGCGTTCTGTTGAATGCCAATTAAGAATGTGGGCAGGTTCATGTGGTGATCTAGAACAACAAGAAATTCAAAAGAGTTTAGGCATTTTGATGTATGGAAATTCTAGTAGTCCAGTGATATTTAAGCAGGTCACCGTTATTATGATGTAGAATTGTATAAAATATTTGGCGGAATCGTGAAGTCACTGTTGACGAAATCGTCTTTCTCAAATTCTCCAATAAAAGAGATTTAGTCGAAAAGATCAGCTATAGAGATCTCTGGGATTTTACCATGAGCTGACATCAGTTAGAGAACCACTGGGAAACCTGGGAGTATTGGACAGCTGTTTCGTCCTAGTTTGGGACCCTTCAGTAGTACGCAATCACCGACAGGGTTCGAACCAATGACCTTCTGGTCACAAGACAGGCGAGCTCGTGGAACATTGAGCCAAAGGGATGCCGATCAAATGGCCAGTTCATGAATTCTAACTTCTGCCAATTCATGACGTAGAGTGACCACTTCGCAAAGTCTTCTTCGATGAGTTACTGCCTCATCTTCTACCTGCTGTACCCTACTGGTCCTGAAACTTGTATAGCATCTGTTTTATGCACTGTGTCACATCTTAAAACAAGTTTAAACAACTACCAGTTATTGGGTTCAGTTTTACTTTTTTCGATTATTACTAATCCGGACGTGTGTGTGTGGCACAGCTGTAGAATGATTCACATCCACGCAGGTTGTTCGATTTCAGGCCACCGACGCACTGATTCACCTCACTAAGCCAGTAATAAAACTGGTAAAGAGGGAAGGTTGGGAACGAGTCTAACAACCTTATCCCGTAAAAATAAACACCACTGCTGCCGAAACTTCGAGGCTCTGGCTTGAAGCCCTATATCCCATTTGGAATGTAAAGGAATGAAAAAGATCCAGACGAACATCTTGCCATTAACACCTGAAATGACGAGACCGTAGTCTGATCACCTTGAAAATCAGAGACACAATATTTAACTTTATATTAAATTATAAGAAATTTCATGTTTTGTCAGGAAAAAAAGTTTGTTAATCAGTAACATTGTTTAACAAGCAAAAGTCACTGAACTGGAAACAATAGAGGAAAGTAACTTTATGTGTATCTAATTCAACGATTAATCGTCTTTCCAGTCTTAAATCCCTAAATTTGTTTTACCTGAAATGTGATATCTCCAATACAAGGGGTGTTCGCAAAACGAACAACTCATTTAAACAATTCATCACATTCGTACATCTAATACGGTATGTGAACTGACTGATACACGTCAACCTGTGCAGAGAAGAGTCTACAGTTTACTCTGTTCAGAAATTGTGAATTTCATAGTAAATTAGCAGGGTTTTGAGGGAGTCAAAAATGCCTATGAGGGTTTTTCTTTTTACAAAACTAAGCATTAACT